CGTTGCTCGACTTATCGATTTTGTCGCATACAGGGACGGCTGGCCTCCGTACAAATGGCGTGCCATTTTGTGTTCAAATAAGTATGAAGGAAACCCAGAGACCGCGACTGCCCAATGGTTCACATGAAAGACAAACCCGACCGTGGGTTTTCGAAGTTTCCAGACATCGTATGTGTAGTCCTCCATCAAGATGATGTCAAGTTTGTTTTTCATTGGACCGAAATCCCCCCATTTCAATCAACTGGAAAAAGTTTGGAACCGATTGAGAAGTCATCGTTTCAGAAGAACTTGGTAAACAATCGGTAGTTTTTATTTGTTTATTCGTTTGATTTTTAACGTTTTTTTCGTTATCACTGGTTTCCGACAGTTAACCATTGGTGTTTACTAGGGATGACCATCCTGTGCGCATCTGTATGCCAGAGAGAACCCACTAGAACCAGCTAGTGAGGGCAACATCTCTAGGATTGCCAAATGTAAGCAATGCCCAAACCTAGTATCAAAGGATGCCGCCTTCGGGATAAGGAAGCTCAGGCGGGCGTTGTTTTCTGAAATGTGAGAGTAAGCGATGGGATTTTAGATCTGCATTTGAATTCGTAAGATTGTTCTTTATTGCTTATTATTGACGCCATCAGTGTGTTGCATTGGATCCCAGGTTCATCTTATCCTGCTTTTGAAACAGTTTCCACTCTTTTTCAAAAGTTCGTCGGTTGGCAGCTTTGTTTTGTGGATTAAAATCGCTGGTTTTGAACGAAATGTTTTTTTAACGGGGTTAAAAGAGAGACCTCCAGATATTGGGGACACAACAGTAAAAATCTCGATTAGAGGGCTTGATCTGGTTATCCCACTGTGGGCCCTTCAGAGAGCTAACTGTCCTGACATTACTGTCTGAAACTGTGGCCAAATGTGATCTTTGTACGCCGACAGAATGGTCTCTGCATTAGCATCTAATCTGACAATGCGTACAGTTGCATTCCGGTGATTGGACTGTGGTCAGACTCGTTTGGTTTGTGTGAGATCTGGTGGTTAAGTCATCACGACCTGCAGTTGTGCTTCCTGGTGTCGGTGTGCTTGAATTTGTGGGCAGTAAACAAGTCAGGCCTGAGAGTGACAGAAATAAAAGTTATCGATGTATTTGAGGAGAGCAATTGAGGAATTTCAAGCAGTGAGGGCAGAAATAGCAGGGCTTAGCAGAACTATGGGATCTTTCAGACAAATGAATTCGTACAGTCGGAAGTGGAGTGGCAAGCTGAATTATTATCGCAAAAGCAAAGCGAAGGTGATCGATCGTGTGGGGGTCGTTCTGATAACGGTGATAACGGAACAACGTAGTTGGTGCATGAAGTTTTGGATATTCATCGGACCGTATGTGAGGCAGATATTTAGAGTCGTCGCTGATAGTAAGTTAGGGTCACCCACGGTTACGCAGTATCCATTAAAATCAGTCTGCAATAACACGCTACTTACGCTAGCGGCTGCTTGGTACGAATTGTAGTCAGGTCTATCCTGACAGTTACAATTCCCCGACTGAACAAAATCCTGAGTGAACTATCGTCCTCCTCTTTCTCACTTGGGCTCAGTTATTACTGAAATGTTTGTATACGCAAACACAACTTTCATCCCGGTGATTCCCCCAGGCTGGAACAGGATAGCTAGGAATCAAATCCTCGAATCCTCTCTCTGAAGTGAGTATATCGATTTTTTCTACCACAAATGAGTGTGATGGGCATCTCGTCAGCATTCCGGAAGTGTACTTGTGCTAGTACTCCATTTCCACACAATTTCGTTGAGTTTATTGATATTAGTAGTCACAATACCCACTTCGTATTGTAAGGATTTGATGGTACTGACCACCCGCGGATTGTTCTAATTCCACTCGCACCTTTGTAGTTCGCGAATATTACAGTTTTCTTTTATGGGACTGTTCCATTAATCTAAATGAAAAGATCGTTCAGCTGTAAAACCCTTGCTACACCCAACTGCCGCGCCACCAGAAGAAAACACGAGGACTGGGATACCGCCAGGTTGCCCAAACCTAGACAGGAGAAGTCGAAAGTCAGAGGTGAGGTTCAAACTACGAACCTTCCGGTCAGTAAATTCGAGCACTAACCACCGAGCCATCTCGCCTTCAATAATCTTCATGATTTTGAAATCATTTGACTTTCACTCTCTCAAGACTTATTTACGAATTCTTGTTCTTCTATTCAACGCAAATAGACTCTCTGACAATATCCCCACTATGGACCTAATTTACGCAGGTGGTATGAGTTAATCGTTTTCGACAGTCCATCAAAGACTGATTATTCAAAAGCGTAAGCACGTTACTAACACATGAAAGTCAATTGTCTCATGTACGAATACTAAAAACCAGTCTTCCAGGGAAATTTCTTCCCAAGTGCTCAGTGTTTTTTACGTATTGAACGCCTTAATGTTTATTTTGCTGTTATCGTGCCCTGAGGACAGGTGAAACCACCGTCGCCGCCAGCAAAGAATTCAATTATGACAGTACACACGAACAGGAGAGATTCTGGACGTTGTTTGCTGGGCTGGGAATTTCAAATGCAAACGTTACATCACCAAACAAGGCGACATCATCACTGTGTTGTTATGGAGCCAGTAGCGACAGTCGGTGGAGATTCTAGAGGAAAGGTCCTCTTTCGAAGGAATTCCACACTCACCCTTTAATGACGGAAAGCGATGCTATTTTTTCCTATTGACTTTATTCGTAGATTATTGTTTCGAAAGGTTTTATCTGGTCTTGTGTTCTTATTTCCCTGGATACCAACCTGTTTTCCAGGTTGCTTCAGCAGGTCAACTTTTAACTAAAATCCGACTGGTTACTACTCAAAGGAGGGACGTTTCTCAACAAACAATAATTAGTTTGAAAGGGGTCAAAGTTAGGATGTGAGCTGCTGTGCGCACAGACATTTCGATCCCAGCCATGCAATCACTCTTGCAATGCTACATTTGGTGAGGAATCGATTGGGTGGAACTCTAAAAGTTTGAATATGACATACCACGTGAGAGGTCCATCCTGATTGGATAACACATTCAGGGTAAATGATTGAACACATGATAGTTGCAACCAATGGTAGGCAAATAGAGAATCAGTCAGAAATAGGTTCAGGACGGTCGATAATAAGCGAAACCCAAAACGTACGTACAAAGCAATTTAACCAGATAAAAAAATAAATCCTGATCTCCCAACAAGACGCAACGTTAGTCCCAAGTTGCTTTCAGGCATATAAATGAGGCCTATGATAATCAGTCACAACAGCCCCTGCAGTGAAAAATGTGTGTTTATGCTTTCGTGCTATAAGTGAAGCCAAATTCTGGACAAAAACGCAAAAGCTGGCTCATTTTCATTGAGACTGGAAGCCAAACTCTGGACAAAAACGCAAAAGCTGGCTCATTTTCATTGGGAATGGTCAGTGTTGGACATCTCACGAAAATCTAGGGAGTCTAGAACCTGTGACTTCTCTGTGAATTAACCTCTATGATTGGTCCTTCGCGACTGAACGGCTAAATATTTACACTACTAGCCGGGAGATTGCGGTACTCTCTGGAGTTTCGTGGGATTCACACTGCCGATGAGTTTCAATAATGAAGAAATAGCTGTAGGGCGCTTCTCGGTTTCCCAGCACTGACTGGCTTCACTTACATGACGGGACCTCCATTGTTAATTAGATTACAGCGCGCATGGTGCAACTGGCAGAGTAGTAGATTCGAGTTTTGCTGAGTACTGTGGCGGAGGAATGCACTACAGTCTATCGATTCCGAGAAACGCGCATCCCTTTAATGGTTGGTAAACAGAAGGACCAACAAAGTTGTGGGAACTTCCGACGGAATACTCACCTATCAGTCAAACCCGTCCGCAACTTTATATATCTTGACCACGAAGTGGCTAATCTGAGTTTAGCTGCGTATTTGGTAAATATTTCCCATGCATGTTTATTAGGCAAATGTATAATGCCTGTCTAATCTAGTTTTAAAATTCCCAGGGATGGATTGATAAGATGGTCACAGTGACTTAGGTTGTCAGTTTTTTTTCGCAGACAAAAGCATGTGACAGTCGGGACCATGATCACAGCGAACCGTAGCCTGCAATTGGATGACATCTTCATGGCTACGAGCAGATTCGAAACCATTTATTTTGCGCAGAGGTTTACCCATAGATTTATACCGTCTTTATTGACGAAACGTCCAACACACATTTGATTGAAATACCATATGCATAGAGAACATTTAAGCTGCAGTTAATGGAGGGATGATGCTGGAGACCCTTGTTTCTCAACTGATGAGGTAAAAACTTGACAGGATTACACAAACGAAAACAGACTGGTGCGGATAACTGAAGATGCATTCATTTTCGGTCGGGGGCTCTATGGGTGAAGTAAAGTAAAGCAGTGGTTAGTTCCTCACCCACGGAGGGAAAACAATATAGAAGACAGTCAATACGAACAGCACGATGGGCAAAACAAACTGTTATGTCAGGCTACTGACCGGCTGGTCAGACGGCTGTTTTTTGCTGATACAGTTCACGTGACACCGGTTTGTGTGTGACTTACCTTCGACGTCACGTGACCTAGTTCTTTGTCTATTGTCTGTAGGTTACAGACTGTGGTATAGAGTCTGTCACCTGTTATAATTTTATTGCACCGAAGTGGCCAGGAGAGTGGTTCAGAATTTCTGTTTAATCCGATTAGGATATTGACAATGGACTTCCCGAAATCATCACTTTGATCGAGACAATCTAGTAAGCCATATTGATTTGTGACCCCTAGGTCAGTCATGCAAGCTATCCCTGAAAGTGGAGTTGATGAGGCCATGATATATGAGTGGACTTTGCAGAAAATGCTAGTTTATACCCGAATTCATCACCTTTGGCACAACTAAATGGTCTTTTTGTTCTATGGGGCAGAAAATGGAATTTGATACCGACGACTGTTTTCATTCCCGCATTGTTCACACTGAATTGAGGGAAGCAAATTTCTTACGTCTGTTTGTCAAAATCGGTCGTAATCCCATCAAATCTATGCTCAAAATTCGCTCCCACCAGAGACAGAGTCAAACACCGTGGTAATTAATTGCGTGGCTGCGCAGCGCACGATGGACAATGCGCCTGTTCAGATGAGCCAGATGGAGCCATATGATGCTGAAAAGTCAAGAAGCGTTGTACAGATGTGTTCTCATTAGCCGCGCGTATCTCACGAAAATCCACTGCTTTGAACTCGCAACATCCCGCAATTCCGTGATTAGAGGGTGAGTGGTGCTCTATCCCGTCTAAGTGCGACTAATCACACTACTGGTCAGCTGATCGTGTTCGAGCGGTTAAGTGTTCAGACCACTAGCTGGGAGAACGCGGTTTTGAGACACCCAGAAGCTTCGTGTGATGCGTATTGCAAATGATTCCTAATAAGAATGAGACACCTGTAAGTGCTTCTCGACTTTTCAGCATAGATTGGCTGAAATCTCTAGTAAATTACACCCTAGCTTTTGGAAGCTGGGTCGAAAGAACATCATCTGACCACATGTGAAACGAAATTTTGGGACATTTTTATGGTGCAGACAGCAGAGATACGCCTCCATACGGAGCTCTCTCAAAAAACAGTCCAGTTCTCGTTCACGACATAGATAAATACAGAAGTGTCTTGTGTTTTCCAGCCGGAAATGCAAATGGATTTTTGGTTCACATTTCCTGTATCGTATGTGATGACCTACTGATTAACGTGTGTGTGGTTTGTTCTATAATTATCTGTAATTATAAATAATTATCTAGAATTAGGCTAAGTCTCCGACAGAGAGGGGTGACATCATCAGTGCGTTGTTAGGGGGCGTATCGATGGGTTGGCGGTGGTGTGTTGGGCAGTGTTGCGTGTGTGTGTGTGTAACCAAACGTGCTGCCAACCGGGGATGACCTTCGACCACTATCAGTCGTCAAATCGGGCGGTTCCATTGGTTGCTCTGTTGTCCTGTGTCCTCCGATGCCCAGTGACCTTTGAGCTTGACATTCCCTGGACTCGTACTCTGTCCTTCGCCATTCCGAGTACTGGGTTGTGACCTTTAGCGGTCTTACTCCAAGGAGTTATTCGTTTCTTCGTTTCTGAATCCAATATTCTGTTGTGCTCGAGTATTCCGGTTCAGATGCTGGTCCTTTGCACGTGGTAGTGCGTAAGTTGGTTCCAGTTCATTGCATCGGTTGCTCAAATTCGCCATGGAGTAACATGCTTCCAGGAATTTCCTTCTACGTCTCGTGACCGTGTACCAAAATTTCTGCGTATTCCAGACTGAATCTGTGACCTTCTTGGCCTTCGTGCATGGATATTAAGGATAGGGGATAATGCCTTCTGACGGCTGCGTTGTGTTCTATCTACATTGAACTGTTTCCAGCTCCAGCGAAAAATAAAACGAAATCTTAGCACAGGTTGTCAGGAACAAAGATACAGGACCAGTAACTAAATGTCATCTTAACAGCCCAACTGAACCGCTGGACTGAGTTGGTCGGCTATTTAGAAAATACGCTGTTTGACCCTTTTTTTTTTCTCTATGAAATATATATTTTCGCCCGTCAACCATTAATTTATCTATTAGAGAGTTGGCGCAACACAATCAGTTGCCTGAAAACATCACAAACGAGAGATTTAGCTGGGTTCCAGGTGAGTCTCTCGCAAAACCAAGTTAGTTTACAAAGGGGTGTATTTCGCTAAAGATTTTATTAGTTTCTCGTTAATTCAATATTCTGAACTGTTCACCGTAAGTAACAGTGGCAAACAAAGTACGCATTGGTATTTTCGTTTGCCTTCTGCCACTTAACCAATTTGGATTATAACCTTGAATGTTTGAATGAAAGGGAAACCTTTCCATTCAGAAGTCCTCGGTGGAAACACAATGTTCACCGTAAGTGACACTGGCAAACAAAGTACGCATTGTTATTTTCGTTTGCTTCTGTAACCTAACCAATCAGGATTATAACTTGAACTTTTGCATGAAGGGGAAACCTTTCCATTCAGAAGTCCTCGGTGGAAACACTCTTCTGATTTCGAAACACAACACACTACTCATAGTGTTGCTAAACTCAGTTGAGTCAGAATCAAATTCGCGTGCAAATAAGAGAATTTTTCAAAACCCTTCTGTTATCTTCGGGGTCGAGTAGATATTATGAGCCATTATCGGCCATAAAACTCTTGGTTATTGTGAACTAGCATATAAACCGTTCTATTCCACTTCATTTGGTGAATGAACTGGACTCATATTCACAAAGGACAGTATCGAACATTTCCATAATTTCCTTTTACCCAAGTGCGATTGTTGTGACACATATGAGTCGTTGTTCATGTCCGATCACCGGAGATTCTTGTTACAATACGGGATTCGCATTCGAAATGTAGCGGTTACACTTGGACAAAGGTTTGCTACACAGAAGGAGTTCTAGAGTCACGTGAACATATAGTATGTTGGTTCTTTGTGAAACATCCAATAATAACATAGGCAACTAGTTTATCCACTTTTAAAATTTACAAGCCGGCAGGGGCCCAATATCGGTGTATTTTGTTCTGATGCCTTGTAACATGCCTTCAGAATTGGGTTGAGCAATCTTGATGCCCTCAGTTTGGATTACTTGTTAAGTTTGATACTGAAGAATGGAGGGTCGTCTTAAAGCATCTGCACAAAACTTATTCCACTTGTATCTTACGCCAGTGCGTCTTCATTGTAGGCACATCTTTTAACTCATGTTTGTCTATTCAACCAACCGTAACCTTCGCATCATGTCAGTATATAATTTTCCAGTCATTCAGACTAGTTGTTGTCGCACGTTAAAGGCGGGATTCTGTTTCATCATACCTCGGTTGAGCCAAACAACTGAGTTTATGGGTTTGATTGTCGCCTAGCTTTTGAATTTAATCGATTAAACATTGATCGTGAAAACAGCTTGTTCAGTGTTTCTTACACAAGGGTTTGTAGACAACTGCTGAAATTACGTTGTTGAGATGTAGTCGATCTGCACCAGCTTGATTTGCCTTCCAGCTATTTCACGGTCATTTCTAGTTGATTTACTGATAAGAAAACTGCTCAGCTGTAACACCCTTTCGGTGCCCAGCTGCCAGGGCACTCGAGGGAAGCATGAAGGCTAGGATAGTGCCAGGTTGCCCAAGCCTAGATAGGGAAAGTCGGGAGGCGGGTTCGAACCACGGACCTTCCGGTCAGTAAATTCGCGCTCTAACCACTTGAGCCATCTCTCACCTGATTTATGTATATTTCGTTGTCATGCAGTAGAACATTGACCAGAGGATGTTTTGGTAAATGTGCCTTTTTTTTACTTTATGTGTCCGTAATTTCAGCTCCACAAGTAAAATAATGCCATAACATAGTCTACGATGAATTTGCAGACATCATATAATTGCAAAATATTCAGTAATCCCATGTACAGAAAACTAGCTCACTGTGTGTTGCCTAATACCATAAACCCAATAAAATTTGAAGCGAATAAAGGCATTGTCGAGGTTAGAGAGCACTTTGAGCACCAGAGTTGTTAAAAGAGACGCCAGTGGGATAAAAAGGGAAACAGTGCGGCTCTTCCATGATCGATACATGTTATGCTCCCTTGAGTCTTGAGAACAACTCCAGATTACCAAAAGTCTGATCGATAAGTTGCTGTCACTCGACATTTAATCCAACATTTCGCGACTGCTATGCACCTAACCTCCAATTCTGTAAGATGACATTCGTTTAGAAATATAAATTTCCGTCTGACATAACAGCACTCAAAATGAAAAGTTATACGTGATCCTTTCCATTGGTTCCTACCGGAAAAACCTTGAGTAGATTTATCCTTACTTGTAAGGTCGACTCACAACCCACGCTCTGTATCCATCAGGTATGTCCACTCGCTAAGTCTACAGTAGATCTGATGAAGTACCGAAATATTGATAGCTCAGCCGTTGAAGTGGTGTTGATCTCTTCGCTGAGCTTGTAGAACGTTCCTCTAAGCGGGTCAGAATTATAAACCCATGTGATACGGACGCTCGTATGTAGATTAAAACATGGGGTGATGTAACAGGGTATTGCAACTAATTGGTATGATTTGATTTTAACAGCTGTTTCGAAAACCATCCGAGGCAAGTTAAAAAGGACTGTGCTTTTTCGAGGAATACAGTCCTTTGCAAATCAATTTGGTTTTCAAGAGGCAACTAATTTGATTTGATTTTAACAGCTGTTTCGAAAACCATCCGAGGCAAGTTAAAAAGGACTGTGCTTTTTCGAGGAATACAGTCCTTCCTTAATCAATTTGGTTTTCAAGAGAGACTCAGCTGAATCTCTCGTATATGATATTCTACAACTGAATGAAACATGAGGCAGCCTGTGTGTAGCACATTCAGTTGTAGAATATCATAAACGAGAGATTCATTTGATTTGCAAATGAGTATAACTC